GCCCAAGGCCTGGGGCAGGGAAAGCTGCTCCCAGCCGGCGTCTTACCAGGGCAGGCTGACTCCCAGGCGGGCCGTGCTCCCCTCTCGGCTGTGCTTCGCTGTCTGGCTGAGCCGGGTCTCTGGGAGGCCTTAAAGTGTCTGGCCGGGCTGTGCTGTGGGGGGAGGGAGCCGACTGCCCTCCCCGGCCCCTGAGCCACGTCTCTGGCAAGGGTTAATCCATCTGGTATGGCAGGGGCAGCTGGAGGCAGGCAGGGCACCTGTGCATGTATGTAACTGGGGATTCCCCAAGCAGCCGGCAGAGCTCGGGGGGCTGGGACCGCTGGGAGACAGGCTCAGCCCATGCTGGCTGGCACGTCATACGCCCACCCCACATGGGGGGCAGGTGGGAACAATGGGCCCTCACAGCCCAGCCTGGCATCCAGGGCACGAGGTAACAGGGATGCTGGAGCAGGAGGTGGAGGAGACCCCAGTGTCACCGGCGCAGCCCTCACGCCCACACCATCCTGCCCAGCGGGAGGGAGCCGGGCAGCGCGGAGCCAATGCAATGAATGGCCCGTGTGTGGCGTCAGGGATAAAAGCCCCTTTCATTGCCTGCCGCCCCTGCTGCACAGACAAAGCAGCATGGCACCTGCTGGCACAGAGATGAGCCCTGAGGGGCTGTAGGCCCCCCTGAGCTCTGCCCCCAGCCAGCTCACAGTAGGACTGGGGCCTGAGAAGGGGAATGGGATGTAAAGGAGTCAAACATCCCCCCCACCTGCCCTTGGGAGCTGGGTATTACTCCCTCTCTTCCAACTGGGAAACTGAGGCACAGAGTGACTCACCCACGGGCCGAGTCGGGGAAAGACCCTAGGATAGTAACCTGGCCCCCATCCTCTCACCTGTACCCACTCTCAGTCATACAGGCACTTTCTTTCCTACCATTACCTGAAGCGGATGGAAACCCCGCACTTCCCCCCAGGATTCACAGGATCACAAGGCTGGAAAGGGCCTCCAGGAGCAGCATCCAGTGCCCTGCAACTGCAGGCAAAACAACCCCACTGCTCACACCCATGGGTGCCCGACTGCCAATGCAAGGGCTGCCTGTTGCAGTTCAAAGCTCAGTGGGCAAGGAGGGTGCAGGAATCATGTGCTGGGAACAAGCAGCCCTCAGCTGTGCGCCGAGGGCAGTGTGTGCAGATCCCCTGTATCGGCAGAGAGATGCAGGCAGGGAAGGCACTGGTGGGACCAGCAGGCATCTGGGGGCTCTGAGCAGCTGTTGGCAGCTTGTTCGAGCACCCTGGAGTCGGACAGGGAAGTTGAGTGTGCCCACATGGCGCCAGGTTTCCCCCGTGCGCATCTCTGATCGAAGCGGGCACTTCCGGGGTCTGCCCCTGGTTGGCTTCAAGGCCAGACTCAGAATCAGGTCCGAGCTGCCCTGCAAGCACACGCATGGGCCAAGTGCTCAATGCCGCCTAGGACAAGGGTCCCCCAACCGCGCTTTGCAGCTTCCTCCTAACTGAGCACCTGGCATCTGCACAGAAGCAGGGCACGGCCTGCAAAAAGCACGTGCGCGCCAAAAATATGCCACTGACCCCCAGCACGGGTCCAGCCGCAGACAGAAAAGCAGCAGGGCTCTCCTTAAGCTTCACCCACACCACCGGGCCCCACCCAAACAGAGACCAGCCATAATATCTCTGGGCATTCGAGGTTGCCACCGGGGCTCACAAGCAGGATGCCTCCGGCTGTCTGCAGACTCAGGCAGCCAACGCTGCTCTGGGCTTGCTCGGGGAAAGCCTGGCGTGCTGTGCTGCCCTGGGGCCAGTCCAGGGGCTGCCGTTCTTACACAGTCCCGATGTCAAAGCATCGCCTTTCCCCTTGTCATGAGCTAGACGTCAGGAGCCCCCTGGCCATGAAAGACCCCTGAGCTCCTCAGCTGTGGGAGCCGGTGGGGGCCTGTGGCACGTTCAGGCATGTTCAAGAGCTCCTTTCCGAGCCTCTGCAGCCCTGCGCTGCATGCTAGACACGGAGAGGACAGTCCTTCCTGTTTCAGTAATGAGTCAGCCCCCAGCAGCCGCTGGAGTCGAGCAGGGGATTTCAACAGCCACCAGATGTCCAGAGCAGAGCCCAGAGCTCCTCTCTGCTCCTGGCTGCCTTCCCCTGAGTGATTGCAAAGTATGTTACCCAGTGGGCCCAGCCCCTTAGAGCAAAAAGGTCCCGCTCCCCATGGGAGGACACAAAGGTTGCTCTGAGACTGTGCTTCCCACAGCTTTCCCAGAGCTCAGTTCTCCATTTCTGAAGCCGAGAGCAAGCAGCTCCAAGGTGCCGGCCCTGACCCCGTCCTGCTCTGACCCCCATCACAGATGCTCGCCTTGCAGTGGTGGGGGGAAAGCAGCTCTTTGGGCTGGGTGGGCAGCGCTGAGGAGCAGCTAGCTGAGTGATGGGCCTGTGCCTCTGGGATGCTGACCTGCGGGACTCCCAGCTGCAGGGAGTCTTTGAAGAAAGGCTCCCTGTGAGGCCAGATCCCAACACCTGGTCCATTCCCAAACACCATGCACAGCTCCTGCAGCAGGATTTAGCCTGAAGGGCACAATGACAGCAGTAATAAAGCTCATGCTCCAAGGTGAGGGTTGTGGGGGACAGGAAAGACTCTCTCTGGGACATGGCTGCATTACAGGGATTGCCTCCCCCTCTGCAGCCTCAGAAATCAAACAGGCTTTGTGCAGGCAGCCTAGTCTGTTCAGTCCCAGTGGGTCTGATTCTGCATCGCCAGGCTACAGGGCCACCAGTGACGCGAGTCCAGAGCGAATGCAAAGCTGCAGGTTCAAGCCTGGCCTGACTCCTGCATGCCAGACAGGATCAGGAGCAGCACCGGCTGGGCAAGGGTGCCCGGCCCCAGACAGGAACCACAGGGAGGGGATGGGGGCCATAAACCCACATGGATGAAGAGCCAAGAAGCCTCAGCCCAGCAGAGCCGGCTCCAAGCCATTGGCCCAGGGGGAGGAGGTGGTTTGCTGTGCCGCTCGCTCCCCAGATCTGCAACAGGTGGCCGGGCACATTTTTCTGCGGCTCCCGCCCACCCCCACAGTGGCTGCGTCTCCTTTCCATCTGCCTCCGAGCACCGGCTTTCCTCTCTTCTCCTGCTTCCAGACACAGGGTGGAGAGGGCAGGTTGGTTTCTTCTGCTGTGAGGTAGAAACGGTTTCCATCGCTGTAACGGGTGGGAAGGCTTCTACCCAGGTCTTCTCACAGGGGCCAAGGGACCCTGCTAGGCACTGGAGAGCTGAGGGGTGCAACGGGCCAGCTCCTGGGCTTGGTGCTGGGATGCCGCTGCCCTCGGGAGATGCCTGCAGGCTTTAGTCCCCATGCACTCGGGCAGGAATCAGTTACCAGGAAGCCCCTGCCTCCCGCCCAAGTGCGCGTCTCCCTTGCCAGGGCTGCCTGCTAGGGCTCAGGGCACACATAGTGCTCTGGGAACTGTGAGAACAGTGCAGCCTGTGCCCAGGCCTCTTGCTCCAATTGCAAGCCCTCCAGGGAGGTTCAGGCTCAGGCTGTGGCCTAGGCTTGATAGCTTCAGAGATGTGGCTCCAAGGCCTCCATGCAGCCCCCCACCTTGCCCACTGGCCCCAGCAGCCCTGGGCTGCCCAACATGGGGCTGCCAGGTTCAGCAGAGGCTAGCACCAAGCCAGGTTGGAGCAGAGCGCCAGGGGCATGGAGTGGGGACACCTGTTCATGGTGCTTTGCAAAGCCCACAGGCAGCTGCCCAGAAAGGGAGGCGGATGGTGCTCCTTTCAGAACAGGAGCCATGGAAATATGCAGGGAATGCTGCCAGCGATGGAGGTGAGAGTGGAGGGAAGCCTGGGCTTTGGGCTCACCGGGGGCCTGGATCTCAGAGGGCCACCCCCTGGCTAGCAGCTGCCCTCCCGAGTCCTGCGCTGCAGCCACACCTGTCACAAAGGATCCTGTTCAGCCGGGCTGGGGGCTGTTGAAGAAAAGCAAGTGAAAGCTGCCAGGGCATGGGCCAGGCGGGCTTCCCCTTTGAAGGAGGATGCCTGCCTGACCACCCCTTCCCCAGGGGATCCAGCTCTGCTAGCTGGTGACCCCCAGAGATGCATGCCTGACCCTGATGGCCCATTGGGCCCCACGTAGCAGGGCACTCCCTTGCACCCCAACCTCAGCCCCTGCAGGAAGTGGTTAGCAGGGCTGGGGGGAAGCCTCGTGAGGGCCCCGGGGCCCATATTCCACAGAGCACCCTGAGATACAGGGGCACACGCCCCGTGCAGGATGGCCCCATTGCACTGAGCATGCCCGTCCCGGTCCGACTAGCTGCAGCTCTTCCCCCTCGGAAGAAATGCAGCCCCCACAAGGGCTGACCCCCTGGCTCCCAGGCAGCCAGGGCTGTGCAAGGGAACACGGTCCTTGTGCCCAGGGGGGCTTGCACAGAAGGCCCCTCTCCTGGCAGGGGTGGGGAATAAGAGGCTTTTAACAGGAATGGCGCAGCCAGCGCCGAGCAGGCGCAGGGGCCTCCTCAGAGCTGTGCGGCTATGACTCATTTGCAGCTGGCAAGGCTGCCCGGTCTGCCTCCTCTCCCACCCATGCGGACCTCTGCCGCCCTGCAAGCTGCTTCCCAGCATGCATTGCTGCTGCTCAGCTGAGCAGCCCTGTGCACGGCCCCAGAAGAGCCACGTGTGGACAGAGCGGCTCCCCCGGCCAAGATGCTCTGCATTCTTCTGCTTTTGGCCTAGGGCTTCCCTCTCCCCGAGTGCCCAAACTCACTCGCTCGGCAGCTGCTGCGGTCCACCGTGACCCCAGGAGGGAGTCAGCGGGGGCTCCAGGGATGGTGACAGGTTTGGGCTCCCCATGTCCAAGCCCAGCCCTTCTACCCTCTTTCCCCGCTGCATCTCCCTGTTTCCCTGCAGAGGAATGCCTTGCTTTTGCAGCAGCCCCTGAAGGCACCATCGCCCCCACCACAGGCCCTGGCCAACACAGCGAGCAGCCCGATGCGAAAGGTGAGACTGGAGGAAACAGGTTAGAAACAGAGGCTTTATTTAAAAGAGTCAGAGGCTGCAGGACATGCACAGCGCAGACCCCGTAACGCTGCCACCCCACAAGCTGGCCACGTGGGATTGTCAGGCATAGAGCAGGGGCACGCCACACCCCATACAGAGCCCCCCAAGAAGGTGCCAAGCTGGTGGCATGTCAAGCCTGGACCTTGGGGGTCTTCATGCTGGTCTCCAAGCCTGGCTGCTTCTGGGACGCAGATGGGCTCCCGCTGGCCTAGCGGAGACAGGCAGGGCCGCGGGAAGTTCAGAGGGAAGGAAAGTGCAACAGGCTGGCACTGGGGGGGCTTTGGAGGGCTGGCTTACAAGGAGGGGAAGCCAAGGGGGACTGGGCTGGGAGCAGAGCATGGGGCTGCACTGGGACCCCTGTGGCTGGTTCGGGGAGAACGAAGGGCTGAGAAGGGAGGTCCCAGCAAGAGGCCCATCGGTCGCACCACATCCGTCCCAGAGCCAGTGCAAAGCCCACCGGAGTCAGAGCTGGGAGGGACCTGTCCAGAACCCCCAGGCCAGCAGTTCAAACCCAGCCGGGGGTTGATGGCTCCCTGTGCCTAGCGCTGGATCTCAGCCCAGTTCCTAGAGGACCCCCCCAGCACAATCTGGCAGCCTCAGCAGAGGGACTGAGGGTTTCCTGGGCCTTGAGCCAAGTCCCCCTCTTGAGGGGCTCATGAAAAGGGGCTCACATCGTTGTTTCCCATTCAGGACAACTGCCAGGGCTTTCTGCCAACTCTCACTGCATCACACAGGGTGTGGGCCACAGCCCAGCTCCAGTTATGCTGCACCCCAAGAGGAGAGATGGGGGTGCAGGGATCAAGACAGAGAAACCATCCAGCCACTGCCCTCAATGCAAAGCTACCAGCAGGGCAACTGCTCCCAGCCCCCCTTGTACAGAAAGGCAGCAGGTCCACCCAAAGGAGAAGCAACCCCATAGGTTATTCAGCACCAGGTCCACCAGCGGGGCCTGCCAGAAACAAAAGAGATGTCAGCTGCAAGTGAACTGGCAGGAAGTGAGGTCCTCACCATCCTTCTTTGGGGAATCATATCACCTCCTACCAATCAAACCCCCACTCTGCTCTTCTAGTTACTCAAATTTCGGCTTGGCCCTTCCCTCCCTCCCTCGTATGTTGAGCAGCAGCAGGAGGCCAAGGCAGACTGTGGCCGGGGCACACATGGCAATAGACTCCTTCAGCACCAGGAGGGTGTAGATGGAACCTGGGGAGACAAAAACCAGAAGACATGTAGGGGAAAAAAAATAAAAATAAAAAAATTAGGATTTGGACCATTAAAGAACTCAGAGCTGCTCCTTCATGGGGCCAGGCGCGGGGAGAACTGGAGCCTGAAGCATACAGCTCCAAAGAGCTTCAGTGCAAAATGGTGCCGGGGCTTCAAGGTGTCATCATTATGCTTCAGAGTCAGCAGACACGTGCAGTGTGTGGGGGCAGTTTGCTCATCTGTGAGCTATTCTCTTTGCTTGCCTGAGGCTGCAGCTAGCCAGCAGGCTGTGAGGAAGGGGACTGTGCCGCACAAGCCATAGGCAGCACTTCCTGGCAGCTAACGATGGCGAACACCTGCAGACAGTAAACCCAGGGCCCTTCACCCCTGGGCAGCTCTGCCTGCCCCCTCCTTGCCTCAGGGGCTGATCTAACAGGATGGGAAAAGCAGATTACACCACCTCCCTCTGCCCAGTCCCACAGCAGGCAGCTCCCGTGCAGCAGCACAACATGGCATGTGGCTCTGAGCTGTCTGCCAGTCTCCCCCTGGCATCTCTCCCCAGGGCTAAGCTAGGCAGGGACCATAGTCTTGACACCCCTAGTTCTCTTACTGACCCCCAAGCCAGGGCCCAGTGGGTAAGGGGAGGGTATGACTGGAATCAGATGTGCATATGCTCAGCCCGGGGGCTTGCAGGTTTCATTACGATCAGCTCTGAAACGAAGGTCTCTCAAGGTATATCTACTGGCCCCCGATTCCAGCAGCCTCCAATTTCCGGCCTGTAATCAAAGGGCCGTCACTTAAGGCTCATTGCAAACGTCAACTCCTGCGGCAGGCAAGGACTGAGAATCCAGGCTCTGGTTTTGAGCCATTGCTTCCCTCTTCCATAGGGACACGAGGGCTTGCTAGACAGACACCTGCTTTTAACCCTTACTTTGTGGACACAGACCTCCTCCAAGCCCTGCTGCTGGGAGGCCATGGGGCTGTTTCTGGGCCTGTGCTCCTCTCACCCAGCAGCAGATGAAATTCTCCTGGCTGCTCCCCAGGAGCCCCTGTATTACCTGGCTTCAGCTTGGCAAGCAGTCACCAGCAGCACACAGCTCCCGTCCTCCAGTGTCTGCACCAGCTCCCAGTAGCCTTCCCGTGCAATTCAAGATGCTGGTTTTGACCTATACGGCCCTAAACAGCCTGGGCCCTACATACCTAAGGGACCCCCCCTTTCCCTTTATGCCCCATCGTGATCCCTCAAGTCAGCTGAGAGCACCACGCTGCAGGTACGATCAGCGGGACAAGTCCACTTGGTGACACCACGTGGGAGGTTACTCCCAGTGGCTGCACTTTGGCTCTGGAGCTCCCTCCCTTCTCGACACGCGCCCCAGTCCGAGCCCGGCTGTCGCCCCAGAGAACTGCAAGACCTTCCTATCTGGACAGGCACGTAGCAACCAAAGCCAAGCAGAGCTGCTACTCAGGTCCCTGCTTTTAGTTTGTTATTTTATTTAGTCTAGTTGCCCTTTTTCAGTGCTCTTGTTTTCTGACAGCAGTGATCCTCAACCAGGGGACCTCAGGGCACTACCAGATCCTTTGAAAGGGGGCCACAACGCGCGAGGAGAGAAGCAGATAAGGGCAGGCTCAAGGTTGTCCCTGTCTAGCCAGTCCCCCACCCCCACTGCCCAGCCCCTCCGCGATTAGGTAAGCACTGTACTAGATAAGATCACTTTTGAAATTGGTTGCCATTCAATGCATAACATGCAAGGAAGGGTGCCTTTCATCCAGTGAGGGGTGCCTCGAGGCCTAAAAGGTTGAGAGCCACTGGTTTACTGTAAGCCCCCTGATCCCTTGTGGGCAAGGGCAGTAGATAAATCATATAAATAAACCATATAAATAAATAAGGAAGAAAGTGAGACTCCTCCCCGCCTCCATGATGTGCGTGGAGGCTATCAGCGAGGAAGGGAAACTCCCAGCTGAAAACTGAGCAAAGGAAAGAGGTGGAAGCCCTGGTTTGGGCTATGCTGCAAACTTGTCCAGCAAAGCCATGGGAAGAGTCTGGCAAGGGGGCTCTGGAGGCAGCAGAAGAGGGGACGCCTGCCTGGCCCTCGTTCCCCAGCTCAGGATGGCAGGGGCATCCTAGAGGGTACAGGAGTCTTCATAACAACCCGGTCGGTGGGCAGTGCCTAAGCCTGTGCCCAGCTTGCCCTTACCGATCATGATGATGGTGAGCACAAAGTTGCTGATCTCTTGCAGGAGCTGGGGCCCGAATGCCAGCGACAGCCCGGCCACCACTTCAATCCAGCCGACCACCTCCAGGTACCGGACCGGCTCCGGTTTGTAGCCAAATTCCTTCAGGGGAAAGACGTCGGCGAACTGCACGAACTGGGACTTCTGCAGGGGGAAGACGGCATGGCACCAGCATTGGAGGGGACTCCAGGCCTCCCTAAGTTTCCTTCCTGGAAACAGGCGTGCTATCCCTAAGGTCTAGCACTGTGGCCTTCGGGCGCGGAAGGAGACGGGCAGCCTCGCCCACTGCCTGAAGCCCCCACCAGGGCTGCAAGAGGAGCAGAGCCCCCCTCCCTTCCCCTCGCTTTGCCTCCCCCAGGAGGAGTATTTTGAGCGGCACGAGATAGTCACGCAGCACAGGACTGCCCATGTCCAGGCGGATGGCATCAGCTCACAGCTCCCTCCCTCCGCACCCAGCCGTTCCCCCACGCTCCTGCTGCAGGGCCCAGTCTCTGAGCAAGCAGCAAGCAGGACCCAAGACCTTTCCCAGCAGATCTGCAGGGCCCTCCAGACACAGCTGGAGCACACCGAGTCCTTTGCAAGCAGACTGCCATCTCGAAAAGGCAGCCGGCGGCTCAGAAGCCTCTTTTCCAAGAGGGCGAGGCACCCACAGCAGGGACTCAGGCCTCTTGGGATCAGCCCACACCTAGGAGGGCTCCGAAGCATCACCAAGCTGCTCTGCAGAGCAAAGCCAACACCCCCTCCCAAAGCCACTGCGCTCCCTGCCCAGAGGCCATCCAGATGTCACACTGCTTTCCTGGGCCAACACTTCAGCTCCTTGTGCCAATGTTTACAGACAAGTCTTCCAACAGGCACGGGGTGTCCTGGCCTTCAGGCTGGTGTCCAAAAGGCTGCTCAGGCCTTAGGACAGCTGGTTCCCACCAGCGTGTTCAAAGCTGCTGGATATCTAAGCCCCGCTGGAGCTGGAAATCCCCGTGGAAGACAAGCCTGCAACCCAGGGCCCTCTGCCTTCCTGCCTGGAGACCACCTGAGTTGTTCCCCTGGACAGATCAGGGATCCTCACAGTCATGAGACTGCAGGGGAGCTCTGGTACTGACGGGGCTTCGGGCCAGCTCTGCAAAGGACTCGCCACACGCCCCGGCACTGGATTTTCCCAAAGGCTCAGCTCCCAGCCAGGCTCCAAAACATGCTCAGAAGAGCCTTAAAGGGATGCCGCCAGCTGGAAAGCTAGCCCACATTTTTTAAATAGGGAGCTTGGCTGCCATGACAACAAGGGCTCTACATAAATGCATCAATCGTGGGCATCAGGTATTAATTAGCCAGATCCCTGTTTGGGCCCATCAGGCACCATGAAGGCGAGGGCCCCGGCACGCTAGGTGCTGTACCAACATGCTGTGCGCGGCAAATGTCACAGCTCTGAAAAGCCCCGTGTGCGTGTAGGCAAGGGGTCTAAGAAAGGAGTGCCCAACCTCCAGCTTGCAGGCCAAATCCAGCTCATGGAGCCACGGCATCTGGCTCACAACCAACCCCCAACCCCTGTGTGGCAGGTCCAAGCTGGACCATGCCCCCTTCCCCACCCCCCACACTGCTGGATTGGGGCTGGGCCATGCCCCCTGCCCTCCTCCATGCAGTTAACTGGGGGGCCCCAGTGCCTGGCTTGGGATCACCAGCAAGTCCAGCCCCTAGACAGACTGGGCACTGCCCACCAGGCCTGCTAGGCAAAAAGGTTGAGTGCCAGTGGCCTGAGATCATACAACCAGGCAGGGGCAGAGGCAAAAGCAAAGCCCCTTTCCCTGCCCCCGCCCAGCCGGGATGCACCCACTCTGGTGCCAGGCCCTGTGCATGCCCCGTCCCACTGGGCTTTTGTGAATCGTGCCGTTTTCCCCCAAGACACTTTTTCTTCTCCCCTCGCAGGAACCTGCACAGGGGACCTGGGTTCCTGGGGTGCAGAAAGTGACTGCTGGGCCTAGCCTGCCCCAACCTGGGTGCAGGAGACGGGGCACCCCGCATCTCAGCCTGCCCCAACCTGGGTGCAGGAGACGGGGCACCCCGCTTCTCAGCTTGCCCCAAACCCCGGAGGCAGGAGCAGGGGCACCTCGAGCAGGGAGGGGTCCAGAGGAGACCCTGGGTCCTAAGCGGACCCGCGGCTGTGAGCGGGTCGGTGCACGCAGGCCGCCTGGGCACAGCCCGGCAGGTGCCGCCCCCCAACCGCAAAGGGCGCCGGGTGCCGCGGCCGGGCTGCGGGGCCCGCACTCACCATGCGCAGGTAGAGCTCGGCCGAGATCTGCTCCGTCAGCTTCGCGGCCCCCACGAAGAGGAAGAAGAGCCCCAGCACCACGCGCACGGCGGCGAAGAGCAGCGCCATGG